ACACAGAAATTATAACTTGCCTTGGATAATACATAATAGTTACTGAGAGTGACATATGATTAGTTCAGTCTATTACAAAGACCACCAAAAGTATGGAATCATTTTGAAACAGTGGATGAGTCTTTAAAACTGTTTTGTTTTTATAGTATTCATGGGTTTAACCATGCCCAATACAGCATTTTTTAAAATTTCTGATTCTTTGCTCATCCATAGCAATTTTAATGAATTTTGCATTATAGTTCTTACTATCTTTATTATGATATTAATAAATATGTACCGGTAATTAAGGAGGAATTCTTCAAATTTCAATGTGCCACAGAAATTAACCTTTAATAATAATAATAATATTTGTTTGCAGGAACATAATATATGAATTAAAAGTTTTGAAATTTGTCCAGAAGTTAAAAGTCTGAAAGTGGTTATTCTCAACTATATTGGGTAATCTTAGCAAGACTGTTTAGGAGATCTGGCATCAGCTTCTGGCTATGTAGAGTTTTATTGATAGAGTATTAAACATTATCTAATGATGGCAACTGTTCTATAGCTTACAAGGTACATTTAACAAAATATTAACAAAGAGGGGAACGGCCTCGATTACCATTATATTTTGACCTTACAAATTCTTGTGACAGTGCTATTGCTTGAATTCGTTGCTGGTTCCAATAGTTTTATTAGCACTTTTTAGTATACAGTATTATTTGCAATCCTTTCATCCTCATAAGGAGACATGTAAGGTAGTTCATTAAAATGCATACTTTAATTAAAACTGGAGTATCTTGAAAGTCTCTGGAGTGTATACTTTCAGTGTATCATGTGTATGATGTGTGACAGCTATTTGATGGTCATTTGTGTTTACCAAGGAGAGAGTTCACAGGGTGGATGCTATTCTGTGTACATATTATCAAGGTATACATATTACCAAGACTTAAAGCATGACCATTCTTGTGTTGCACTGACTGAAACAGGAGTGAGTCTTGTCAGCCTGTAGTCTGCCATCTGCCTTACTAGTGGGCTAAGCAGGATCTTGATCATCCCTAGATATTGCCCATGCTCTGTTTTCATATAGGACACTGTTGTTACTAGTATACTTGCCAAATATGATAGTTTTTTGCTCAACGATGTTTAAGCGTAACATAGAACACCTGTGACTGTCAGAACATGCCTTACTAAGCAAATTTGAGTTCCTTTAATGTTCTCAGAATGACTTATTAGACACATAGTGAGAATGAATCAGAACCAGATATAGTTAGTTGAACCTAGGTACCATTGAAATCAATAAACTTAGTCATGATTTTAGGTTGCATTGAAGGAAACTAAGTTCAGCTAACTTAGTCTGAATCCATCACACATTAATCAATTGTTAATTGGAAAAAAGGTTTTTGGACTTTTATATCAGTGACAACATTTTTCCATATGGAATGTTTATTTTATTCATTCATTCATATATCCCACCTTTTAAGAAATCTTCTTGCAAGGCAGCATTTCTGTATCATCCAGTGGTACTGTAGACCTTTATGAGGGCTGGATATAAGAACAGATGTCACTATAACACATCAAAAATGTGCTGGCAAACCACAGTTGTAAACTTCTTTGCAATTATTGCTGCTGCTGCCAGCATTATAGTACCTAGCTACTATTTAGAAACCAAAGTGACATTTGGGATCTAGGAACTATGCAACAAAACTTGCTTCGACCCAGCACATTGTTCATTTTGTGGCCCGGATACATGACTGATATATGTAACTATGAACAGAGGTACAAATCAGGAGTGGACAGTGTCACAGGGCAACAGAGCTTACCTTACCTCTTGACAGCTGAGTCACTGCCACTTATCAAGAAGGAGAAGAAAATAGAGAGGTGAAGCAACAGAGGTCAGTATGGTGCAAATGCATTGGTGGAACCAATTCAGCACTCTTGCTGATATTTTTATACTGGCAAGTTCTGACCCCCCCCCCACCTCTTCAATTCCTGGTATATAGCAGTGACTCATATGATGGGAGGTCAGGTGAGCCCAAATGTCTCACCACGCCGTCCACTGCTGGTATAAATATTTTTATTTATTTTTTGCAAAATTTAAGATCCGAATAATTTTTAATGCATATTTTAAACATACTTTCTCCAAATACACATTTCTAAGTGTGTTTTCTCTCAGAACACACATTTGTAAACACATGTTGACACTAAGTAGGGTCAGGAAGCACAGAACTTACTGGGATAACATTAGTCCAGGAACTGCAGATCAGGTCTGTTTGTATTATTAGAAATGACCATGATTGATTTCTTCCAACAACCCTACCTGGAAATATCGACCTTCCTTGGGAACTCTTCTGCTAATGAATGGCTGCTGGGTGTGATTAATAAAAGATGATGGAAAATTACTCTACATATCTTCAAAGCCACTTTTAGCATTTGGACCACATATTCTCTAGAGTTGAGTTCTTTCATTGAAAGAAACATTGGTACTATATTCAGGGTCAAATCAAGCCCTGCTTCTAGGAAGAGGAAAAAACGAGGGGAAGGGATGTGTATGTATGAGAAGCAGAGGAAGTAAGATACAGAAAAAGAAAGGTGGAAAAGGATGGGGGGAAATAGCAGGGGAACAAATAGGTTTAAAATACTTTGTTTAAATGAGAAAAGGGGGGAAGGTTGAGGTTAACAATAATATGAAAGAGCAACAGAGTTATTGAGAAATTAAAGCATGGTGAAATGAGAGAGGGGAGAGCGCAGGATGACAAATGAGAGAATTGTGTTGGGAAATTGGGAGGCGTTAAGGCCCTGCACTCAGGAGCAAGTGTGGGAGGAGAAGATACTTGGTTCCTGTCCTGTGCAGCAATTCAGTGCAGTATCAAAGAGTACACTCTTTGAACTTAATGGGCATGACTAACATAGGTCCATTAATTTCATTGGCATAGCTGTCAACCTTCCCTTATTCCAGCGCTGTTTCCCGCTGCTTCCCGCTGCTATCCCGGATTGTTAGATATCCCGTAGACTTTCCCCGGGACAGGTGAGGCTGCTGATCCCTTATTTTCAAATCTGAAAGTTGGCAGCTATGTTCATTGGGTCTAGCCTGAGTAGAACTTAATTGAATACCACCCTCTGCCTTCAGCATCCAAGACCAGTTTTTAAGTTAGCACTGTCACCTGGGCCACCAGATTTTTGCAAGCCTGCCTCTGAGTGTGAGCAAAGGACTTAAGCCCACTACTATAATTTAGATATGACCATTTTTAAAGCTTAAATTTGGTGGCTTAAACAAGACTATCTTAAGTCATGTAGCTTTATTCATGTTATGTCTTGGTAGGAAGTCTCTGCGGAAGGGTGGGGGCTGCTGAGCATTGATAACTGGGAGAGAGCAGGGGGCGGGTTTTTCTTTCATCTATGTTTGCTGCTGTGTGAGTCTTGGACACTTTTTATTCTGCATCCATTTCTTTACATATAATAATGCAATCCAAGTCTGTGGCCTGAAGTTAATACTTTTCCACATGTGGTAAGACAGGAAAACTTCACAGCCATCAAAGTCAAGTACTAATATGTAAGGAAAAACAAAATATTCCTTTTATTGCTGCACCATATACCTTGAATACCATAGGTTGTGGCTATATATAACAGACTATAGAGAGTAACTGAAAGTGTGTTTTGTAGTAAACACTTGGTTCATAAAGTATCTATGTCCGTAAAGCATTTAATTAATGAAACTCAAATGTGGATAAAAACAATTTGTCCTGATTTACAAACCCCCTTCATTTGGAAGCAGCTGCTTAATGTTCTTCTTAAAAACACAGCTTGATTCTTTCAGTATTAACAAGCTATTATTGTGAGTTATGTCCCTCCTTCAGTGCATAAATTCCCTTAAAGTGTATCTAGAGAAGTTTATAAAATGCAAGCTTAATGCTGTTGTAACATATGTTGCAAGGTTTTTTACAAACGGCAGTTTTGATGAAACATATTTATGCATTGATCTCATAAATTTTATTTCAGTTCCTTGTTTAGCTTGTTGTGTGTGCTTTCCTATAATAAGAACCTGATCCCCCATTGAAGAAGTTAATGAGAAGTGTAAAGAGAATTTAGTAAAGGTAATTGATATTAGTAAGATGGCATAGGTCTTTAACCTTGCACTCATTCATTTTTGATATAGCCCAATATAACTCTCAATTCTGTGAAATCTTTGATGAGCTAAGCAAGCTGTCAAGAGAGTGAAGAAAATCCTACTTTGTCGAATCTTGACTTTCTGGCTAGAATTAACCATTCAGCCAGCTGTATACAGATATACTAAATATGCCTTGTATGTTATTCTTTTGGGCACTTTGCTTGATCACAAAGCAAACACTTTTTAGAACAAAGCAGCATATTTGTGCAAACATCCCTGTACCCCACTTTCAGTGTTTCTAATAACTGTTGGACGAGTGCATTCAATTTGGCAGTTTTGTTTATTGAGCCAGGGTGGATGGGTTTTATTCCAGAACAAAATCATCTCTGTATGGAAGCTCAGAGAAAATGAAGTAAAATTCCTTCTTCATCTGATGGTGGAAATGTTTCTGTTAATATTATTGCAGGTTGACCGCCAATCACAATTTATTCAAGGTTATCGAGTCATATATCGCCAAACATCAGGCCTACCTTCCCCTTCTGCATGGCAGACCCTAGAGGCCAAAGTTCCCACAGAGCGCAGTGCTGTTCTAGTCAACTTGAAGAAAGGAGTTACTTATGAAATTAAAGTTCGGCCATACTTCAATGAGTTTCAAGGGATGGACAGTGAATCAAAATCTGCCCGTACCACTGAAGAAGGTAAATAAAAACTATTAAAGTAATAATAGGCTTGTGTGTTTTGGCGAGTTAATTACACATTGTCCAGTATGCATACGGGGCTTTCCACAAGTAGGAGTTAGCCTGTTTTCTTCAATTAAGTTGCATGTGTACACCAGAATTCCACAGTAGTCATAGACTCATAGAATTGGAAGGGACCCTGAGTATCATCTAGTCCAACCGCCTGCAATACAGGAATATGCAGCTGTCCCCTACAGGGATTGAACCTGTAACCTTGGCATTACCAGTGCCACAGTCTAGCCAACTGAGCTATCCAGTCAATTGCAATTACCGGTATCTTTGTGACTATATATGCCCCACTTACTGTGTTTTCGTTCATTATATTTCTATGCATAATGGGGGGGGGGAATAGCAGTCATACTTTACAGGATGTATCAGTACCTGTTTAAATAAAAGAAACAGAATGTTAGTAAATAGACAATTGAAATGAAGAGAAATAAATGGTGTGGTCTCTGGGATTTGTATTAGTACCATTGTTATTCTGCTAATTCATAAATTAACTGAGAAAGCGAAATTTGCAGGTGACAACAAATTCTTTAGGGTGACAGTGAAGAGGTCCACTGAACCTCCAAATCAGGTGTAACTAAAAGGTGAAATTCATGTTAGGGATCACTAAATAGATATTAAAAATAAAACAGTATTATAATGCCTTTCTATAAGCCCATGCTGTGGGCAATTTTGGAATACTGTGTATAAATAGTTCTGGTTGCAAACACCAGTTGTGGTCTCAAATAGTTCCAGCCTCAAAAAAATGTTATAGATCTTCAAAAGGTACAGAAAATGACAACTAAAATTATCAAGAAGTTGGAGCACTTGTGCTACAGAGAAAAGCTAAAGTGCTTTGGTTGTCTCGCTTTAGAAAAAATATGGCTAAGGGAAGACTATGCAGACATTTATAAAATTATGACTGGTGTGAAGAAAGAAGCAGAAGAAGGTTCTTCCTCTTTCATAACACAACAACTTGGGGGCACTCAATGAAACTGATGGAATGTAGATTTAGGATAGCCATCCTTCTTTGCACAATGCATAATCTTTTATAAATCACAAATGTGGAGATGGTTTGGGTGCTGGTTTTGAAGGAAAGTCAGACAAATTGATGAAGTTATAGGTATATTCACTGATAATAAACATAATAACTAGATGAAATTTCAGAGGAAATATTCCCCTGAATACCATTTGCTGGGAGGCAAACAACAGAAAAAGTCTTCTAGATCCTAGAAGCATCTAGATGGCGCTGTTGCAGACAAGAGGCTGGACTAGTTATGCGTGTCTTCATAGGCACACAAAAATAAGGTTAAGAAATGGTTTAACAAAACAAGCATTAGACAAACTCAGTCACCCAAGTAGGATTGAATTATTATTTTTTTGCATATTTTCTGTTGTTAATATAACTTATTCTAGTTTTCTCCTCGCAAAATAAAAAATAAGAACTGCTAAATGAAAAAGATATCTTTTTTATTATTACAATTCTGTAGACTTCTTGAAGACTGAGTGATGGTTTCATTAATGGCTGCTATTTTCCAGTAGTGTATGCCAGGGTATTGCACATTCTGAAGGCTACTTCTTTGTAGAGCGAAGGCTTTTAGACTGTCCCTGCCTATAGATATGTTAAACTCATGGGCCCTAAACTGTTGTGTAGATTAATGTAACCTTCAGCCACTCTGCCTCTTGGTGTCTCCTTCAGTATAAAAAAAGAAAGAAAGAAAAAGACTGTAACAAATTGTACTGTCAACAGTTAAATGTCAGGTGCTGGGGGGGGGGGGTTTGGTTAAAGTATCTGCTTGTATAGGAGACTATTTATAGGCTTACATGCAAAAACTACTGCATTCACAAACTGTCATTGCATGGCCATTTTCTTTGGTTCCTTAATTATCTTTGTAATTATCTTGGGTTTATGCTTTTTTTAGACATAATCGCAAGAAATCTTTTTAATGAAAATGGTTCACTTCTCAGAGAAAAAGGGCAATCTTTTTAAAAGTGTCATATTTTATGCATTGATATGATTCTGCTTAAGGGAATACCATTTCAATAGAAGAAAAACCTGTTTTAGAAATGGCTTTAGATATATGAGATGAGTACTGTATTTTTTCAGTTGCAGAATGTGTATTTTTAGTCAGGGAAATACTTAAAATAAGTATATCTCATTTTTCACGGAACTGAGTATCAGAGGAAATGTTTCTTCTGGGGCCTAACTCAAAAAATCGATTTTATCACAGTTCCCCCCCCACCCTTTTTCCTGAAGTCCAGACATTTGTCACAATTCAGTATCCATTCATCTCCTACCTCTTTGGCCTTGTGAAAGTAACAAATGGAATTCTGTTTGGTTGTGTCTGGAAAAGATGAGCAGTGATTTTGGTGCTTTAATATCTGTGGGAAGGAACTGAGCACTGGAATAATTGACCTGTCAAGAATCAGGCATGGTGTTCTCCACAAGTCAGCAGCAAGGGAAATGAGAAAACAGTTTAAAAATGTTATTTTTCAGTGTGGTCCATTTAATAACTGCAACACTGTCAGGGAAGTGCTTTAATTTATATTATGGTGTCAACTCTTGCAGTGGTATTATACAGATGAAGATAGAACAGTTAGATTACATAGATTACATATTGTATTGGCATATATGTGTGTGTATAGGCATATGTGCAAGTATGTAGATGTAAAAATAGTTCCAGTTCCGCCATGCTCTCACTCAATCAAGCTTTAAACCAGATTCCTGTGTATTTTCTAGACCTTAAAACTCACATGGCATGCTGAACATTTTATTAGTAGACTTTAAAATCATGTAATTGTTTTGCTTCTTTTTTCAGTTGCATGATGCAGAAAAGCTAGAAGTCATTAGCTGTAGGTGTATTAAGTAGAAAAATGAAGATAGATGGGTTCCATAATGTGTATGCATACAGTGTTATGTAGGGGTGTACGTTGATAAACCCTATACAGTGGTACCTCTGGTTACGTACTTAATTCGTTCCAGAGGTCCATTCTTAACCTGAAACTGTTCTAAACCTGAAGCACCACTTTAGCTAATGGGGCCTTCTGCTACTGCCGCACCGCCACCGAGCGATTTCTGTTCTCATCCTGAAGCAAAGTACTGTTTTGGGGGCACCAGAGGCGGGCAGGTGTGGAGGACTCCCTGGTCCTGAATGGGGTAACTGTGCCCCTGAAGGACCAGGTGTGTAGCATGGGAGTCATTTTGGACTCCCAGCTGCCCATGGAGGCGCAGGTCAATTCTGTGCCCAGGGCAGCTGTCTACGAGCTCCATCTGATACTCAGGCTGAAACCCTATCTGCCCACAGACTGTCTCTCCAGAGTGGTGCATGCTCTAGTTATCTGCCGCTTGGACTATTACAATGCGCTCTACATGCGGCTACCTTTGAAGGTGACCCGGAAACTGCAACTAATCCAGAATGTGGCAGCAAGACTGGTGACTGGGAATGGCTGCCAAGACCACATAACACTGTTCCTGAATGACCTACATTGGCTCCCAGTATGTTTCCGAGCACAATTCAACGTGTTGGTGCTGACCTTTAATGCCCTAAACGGCCTCGACCCAGAATACCTGAAGGAGCATCTCCCTCCCCCATCGTCCAGCCAGGCACTGAGGTCCAGTGCTGAGGGCCTTCTGGCAGTTCCCTTACTGTGAGAAGTGAGGTTACAGGGAACCAGGCAGAGGGCCTTCTCAGTGATGGAGCCCGCCCTGTGGAATCCCCTCCCATCAGATGTCAAGGAAATAAACAACTACCTGACTCTTAAAAGACATCTGAAGGCAGCCCTGTTTAGGGAAGTGTTTAATGTTTGAAGTTTTACCCGGTTTAATATTCTGTTGGGAGCCACCCAGAGTATCTGGGGAAACCCAGCCAGGTGGACGGGCTATAAATAAGAAATTATTATTATTATTATTATTATTATTATTATTAATTTCCTTTCGGACTGGCCCACCTCTAAGCCTACCCATGATAGGCCAATTTGCGGGCAGGTCTAGGATCCACAGCCAGGGCCATCAAGGTAAGCTGCAAGCCTCTGGTGGCCGATGGTTGTCACTCAAAGATCAGGTTGCAGCTGGCTAGCAGCACTGGCCCGCAGCATCGCTGTGCTAGGTAAGGACAAGCATACTTCAGTACTTCAGTCACTGAGCAATGCTATCCTTCAGGATAATCCATTCCATTCTCCTCCTCTCCCACGGTTAACAGTCAATTAGCACTACTCATTCAGAAAGTTCAGTTCTCATTGCCTGTTTTGGGATACTTCCCTTGAAGTTTTTGTTTTTGATTGTTTTTCTAAACTTTTTTTGTACTTCTGTACACCTCAAAACCTCTCTCTTATGCACTGATGGTGCCTTTTGGCTACTAAAAGAGAAATAGAGGGAATAATGTTGCTTTCCCCTCTTTCAGTTATTTTGCAATAAATTGCCATGATGCAGCGAGTCTTTTTAGCCATACAATATGGGTTGCACATGAATTGCAATGCCTCTTTTCTTTCTTTCTCATTTAACCTCTCCACTGGGTGTGGGGGAACAGCCAGAAAGTAAGCAGACACGAAACCTATGTTGTGTATCAAAACCAGCTGCACACGTCTCTGGGTCACAACCCATGTGCCTTTAGGGCCTTCGGAGATCATCATCAATATTTCTAGAGTGCTTAAATTGTACAAGGTGATGTAAGGCATATAAAAACAGACTTTACAGTATATGTTTAAATGATATCAAAAGAAATTAGACTAAGCAGCACAAAATTAAAACTGAATGTCAATATCCAGCATGAAAAAACCTAAATAAATATTCTGCATGAAAATAAACCTAAATAAATATTAGTCTGGCATGAATAAGGTTCAGAATGGCAAAACAAACAAAAATGCACTGGGGTATTAATTTGACACGACATTCAGCCCTGGAATATGTGAAGCAAAGGAAAGACGGCATTTGCATACATTGCTGTTCCCACACTACTGAATAGGACAGACATCTGGGACTAGGGGCAAATAAATTAAGATCACACTGTCATTCAGTATGTGCTGCACACCTGTACATACTATGTTGGTGGTGAGCATAAGCTTTTAGAATACTTAACGAAGTGTTTTTCCTTCAATTTATTACATCTCTCTGCTCCAGCTCCAAGTGCCCCACCACAATCTGTTACTGTTCTCACAGTTGGAAACCACAACAGCACCAGTATAAGTATTTCCTGGGATCCTCCACCCCCAGATCACCAGAATGGAATCATTCAAGAATACAAGGTAGGAATGAAATGTAGCAGGAAGAAAGCATCTCAAAAT